GCTCTTCCAGGGGGAGGCAGCTCAGTCGCCGGCTTCTGGATGGCTGCTCACTGCGGCTGCTGGCCGCTCACGCTGGCTACTGGCCGCTCACGCTGGCTACTGGCTACACACGGTAGCCCATGGCAACCCACTGCAGCAAGGGCTGCAGCCTACGCTGTTACCTCATGGCAGCCCAACTCCAGGTTGAGCTGTTGTTCAGCATCTTAGCTGTAGAGGGCAGTGTCACTGGCCCTTATATGTGGGATCCGAACTGGGGCCCTCTGGATCCCAAGCCAGCTCTTAACCAACGTGCCACTCGGCTGGCCGCCAAGTTGTTGTTCTTCAATCTTAGTTGTGGAGGGCGCCAGTCGCCATCTGAGCTCAAGGTGCTGTGTTCAATCTAAGTTGCAGGTGGGCGTAGCCACCATCTTATGCGGGAATTGAACCAGCAGCCTTGTTGTTAAGAGCACATGCTCTATCCACTGAGCCATCCGGGCAGCAGCTCAGCTCCAGGTGCTGAGTTCAGTCTTAGTTGCGGGTGGGCATAGCCCACCATCAACAGGCAATCTTGTTGTTACACCAGCTGAGCCATTCTGCCACCTGTTGGCAGCTCCGTGACAGCTCAGCTCAGGCGCAGTATCACTGACCCATGTGGGAATCGAACCGGCGGCCTTGTTACTCAGAGCTCGCACTCTTAAGCCAACTCTTAACCAACTGAGCCACTAGGTCAGCCCAGAGATTGATATACTATTTTTTGCTCTTGAGTTGTATAAATTATATATATATATATATATATATATATATATATATATATATATATCCCCCCCCATACTAACCCTTTATCAGTGTTCTTGACATACAAAGGTTTTAAATTTGGATGCATTCCAACTTACTTTTTTCTTTTGTTGCCTGTGCTTTTGATGTCATATTCAAGAAATACTGCCAAATCTAGTATCATGAAGCACCTTGTGTTTTCTTCTAAGAATTTTGTAATTTTAGCTTTATGTTTAGGTCTTTGATCCATTTTTTTATATGATTTGAGTTAATTTTTATATGATATTAGCTAAGGGTCGATTTCATTCTTTTGCATGTGGATATTCAGTATTTCCAACACCATTTGTTGAAAAAAACTGTCCTTTCTCCACTGAATGGTCTTAGCATCATTGTTGAAAATCATGTGACCATATATGTGAGGGTTACTTCTGGGATATCTATTCTATTGGTCTGTATTTCTGTACAAACCTTTCGTTAATATATACCAGGTCTGACAATTAAGTTCATGAACTTTGTTGCAATGATGTTGCTAACCTTTTTTGACATCAGCAGGGTTATTCATTATGCATTTGTACCAACTGGGCAAACAGTTAACCAAGTTTACTATTTGGAAGTGCTGAAAAGGATGTGTGAAAAAATTAGACGATCAGAATTTTTTGCCAACAATCCATGGCTCTTGCGTCACAACAATGCACCAGCTCACACGGCACTGTCTGTGAGGGAGTTTTTAGCCAGTAAACAAATAGCTGTATTGGAACACCCTCCCTACTCACTTTATCTGGCCCCCAATGACTTCTTTCTTAACACAAAGATAAAGGAAATATTGAAAGAAAGACATTTTGATGACATTCAGGACATCAAGGGTAATATGACGACAGCTCCGATGGCCATTCCAGAAAAAGAGTTCCAAAATTGCTTTGAAGTGTGGGTGGACTAGGCACTGGCATCAGTGCATAGCTTCCCAAGGGGAGTAGTGCGAAGGTGACCATGGTGATATTCAGCAATGAGCACTTTTTCTAGGATGAGTTCGCAAACTTAATTGTTAGATCTCGTACATTTGGAGGACAGTTCCATTCTTCATCTTTAATATA